CCCCCCCAAGGAAGACAACTCCCATCGGGCGATCATAAGAGGTTGTAAAATCTGAAATAAATTAACTATAAAGCCATTGCGTATATTTTGTTCAATTTCTCATTCTTTTTGTGTAAAACTATGTGACCTGACAGCTTTTAGCTTATAGATAATTACTTTTACCCATATAATTCCAATAAAAACCCCACTTTTTTAACATGTTTTATAAATTTTGTGGTTAATGAATTATTTGTAGGGTTAATTAGCAATGTTTCTATACATTTTTTATGGTTGTTAATTGTTCCGAACAAAGCCACACACCAAAACAATGGAAACTATTTATATTGACTAAAATTTAGTTTTAGGGGTATTTTTCCCTTAAAAAGCCTAGTCTTTCGGAATGCTTAGATTTTCATAGATCACCTCTACATAGCTGCATGACCATTATGTGAAAGTGTTGAAGTTTTAACAAATTCTGCTAGTTAATCGCAAAAGGGTGGAGCCTCCTTAAACTTACACGACCACGGGAAACACTTTTTAAAATGTCTTAACAAAAGCATGCATTGACTAGTCAAAAACAACAAACAAAAACTTTGTTCAATTCATCAGTTAAACTCTTTGCTTTTTGATTTTTCAATTGGCCATTTTATTCAAGACAATGCGGTTTTATGTACACTGGCTTTCCCTTTCCGCCCTTTCCTTTCTTTTATACGCTTTTATTATATGTAAATAGAAAGTCATCACACATCTGTGAAAATTTCTTATAAATCCAAAACATGAGCAGGTTATTTTTTCAGATATTAAACTTGTCATACATCCTATGCTTTCGCGAATCATTTACATGGAGATGTAAGCATATAATAATTGTAAAGGAATATTTTCTAGCAGCGAAAATGCATAGAATAAATATAAAACCAATTGAATATTAATTTTTGAACTCCTGAGATATTAGGTATTGCTAATATGATACTGCAAAAATAGCCATATTCACAATATCTATGAAAGTGATGTGGTTTCCCAGACTTAAAAAAAAAGAGTATCAACACATTTTACCATCCAAGAACCAATTTTTGAATATTTTTTTTAATTCCGTGATGTAAAAAATTCCCGAAAAGTGCATCCTCGATATCCAGGGGTTACGCTAGCTTTCGCTCTCTGCACCGCTGGAGTATGTCATGGCAATATTGAAGGCACGAAGATAGCTGTTTGATTGGTCTCAGGTAAAAAAAACACTGACCAATCGCCCAACTTCAAAGCCTGTCAATTTTTACCGTTACATGATCGCGAGATTCTTTCGATGTACATATTTCCCACGAGTGCAGAGAGCGAAAGTGAGAGTAACCACTGGATATCGAGGATGCGAAAAGGGACCGTCCTCCTTTGTGAGGATTGATCAAGTTTTTCAAAACTGCGACTGACGTTTCATTGGTTAAGACATTCGTCTATGTCCGATGTAGCCTAAGTGACCGATGAAGGTTCGAATCCACGTTCAGATACACTTTTTTTCCAAAATTTAGGCATGTGATCATTTTCTAAATAATTGATAACTATTTTCCAAATCAATGGAACATTTTATTGATATCTTAATATCATGCCTATTGATTTATCTTGTAGTGAATCATGTCAACAAATCCCTGTACGCGTGTACAGTACAGCTACGCTTTGTAGTTAAGACATCATTCTAAACGATATTTTTGAATTGTTTTACCCTCCAATTGGCACTAGTATTTTTTTGCATTATTTAAACACAAACAAATGATGCCGAAATACAAAATATATGGGGTGTTGTGTCAGAATAAAAAAGGCAAAGCAAAACAAATGAACTGTTATTATCGCAAAGATATTACCGACCATACTTGAAAATTCATCTCATTTGTTTTAAATGCAAGAAGACTGTAGCAAAAAGTAAGGAGCGCAATACACGTGTAAGACATGCTATTCGAAAACTATATGTAATTTTACCATTCCAAGTGAAGGGAGAACAAATTCAAGATGTGTGCTTTTTAAGAAAACAGGTAACGGCATGACGTAGGCAGTAATAACGAAAATTAAATCCTTTCAAACTTTTTGGTAATGATTGTACAATCTTGTGTTTCATACAGCATAACGCAAAATAAGCATTTTGTTGAGTCTTTATCGTGAAACGCATGAAATAATAGCCATGGCCTTGAATTCGTCTGTTTACAATAACCTATTCTTAGACACGGGATTCCGATAGAGCTACCTGTATACAAATACCTGAGGACTATAGAAGGGGATCACCGCCATAATTATTTTTTATAGAATTAGTTACTTCTGGTTTGGAATCTTATTCTATGTACATTTGTAATATTTCCCTAGTTGATAAGTTATAGAATTAGTTACTTCTGGTTTGGAATCTAATTCTATGTTCATTTGTATTAATTCTATGTTCATTTGTATTAATTCCCTAGTTGATAAGTGTCCTTTTCCATGCTATGTACATTTGTGTTGTTGCACTCGTTTACAAATCTATTGCGTGTTCATTCCATGCTATGCTAGTTTTACCGATCGCGATTTCGTGTTAGCTTGTAGTATTCAATCCATTCCAGACCTACGTGATGTTATATACTCAGTACATTATATCGGTTGATCTGAAGCTTTCGTCATTTTTGTAAAAACAGAAATTCGAAACAAAGTTTTAATTCAGAAATAGCTAGCTAGTCAACTAGTAAACGAGTAAGCCAGCAGTTGAAATACGTTAGGTTTCCTCATTATGACGACAAGCTGCGCTGCGATCGTCTTAAATATAGACGGACCGCTCCCCAACCGCATCCGGATCACCGTACGGACGCAATGTCGTTATTTGTTTACGTTTTGACTATTGTATTTTTAAGGTTCTTATATTCATTACTGCATAAATTAAATATATGTTCAAGAACATATTAATGACGCCGTCAATATTGATGTAGACTCGGACAGTGCGAGAAACATTTTAAGGGCCTGCACAAGAAGAACAATTAGACTTGCTCAAGTCCAGAAAATAATCACATAAACTAAATGCGAGTCTAATATTGACAGAGCGTAGAGCTTTTCTTCCCCACTCCAATACACACATTTAAAACAAAAGTGAAAAA